AGATAGATAGATAGATAGATAGATAGATAGATAGATAGATAGATAGATAGATAGATAGATAGATAGATAGATGATAGACAGACAGACAGATAGATAAAGGGATATCTTCTATGTTTTCACAGAGGATGAAGTACTTAAAGTGATATTTTTCTATATAAAAGATTTGTTTATCTAGCCATGCTATGTCCAATGCCAGGATATCTGCTGATTTTGAGCAATGGAGTGCATTGATTGACAAACTTCCATTGGTTCCATGCCTTAGGGTTCCTCTAGAACAGGGGTGTCAAACACAAGGCCTGTGGGACGAATCCTTCCCACGAGGTGCTTAGATTGCCCCGTGATGCCTCTGCCAGTGAAAACGGACTCCCAATCTTCGTTTTTGGCTGGGACAGCCTCCTGCAACCCTCTGCCAGCCAAAATGGCACGTGAGAGGGCCATGTGTGCAAGGCTTACAATGTAACAAGCTTAACCCAGAGGCAGTTTCTGAAAACACTTAAAGCAGCAGGACAATTAAGACAAGGCTTAGGCTAGAAATACAGGCATACCAGAATGTTTCCTTCCTGCCCGCCTTGCAGGATTAGCCCTGTAAAGTGGGAAAAGATTTCTTACAAAAACAACAACAACAACAACAACAACAACAACAACAAGTTCTCCGAATTGCTCAGAAAATTAACATCTGGTGATGTGAACCGGTAGCAGCCCACCTCTGATATAAGTCTATGTGCTATCGCTCTCTCTCACCTTTTCTATCCCAAATATGTTTTGCTGGATTCTAAGGGACTTCTTGTAATCAGATTTCGGCCTGTATCCTCTCTCTCTCTCTTTCTTTTTTTGCAATTAAAAAGGTGTTTCTTTGATTGTCAAAAAGTACGGGACATTGTTTATATTTCCCTTGAATTTCTGATGACCGCATAGACAAATCGATGGCAGTTTTCTTAGCAAGGGTTTTCAGAAATGGTTCCTCATTCCTTCTGCCTAGAGCTGAAAGAGAATGACTGGCTCAGTCACCCAGCTGCGTTTGAACCTAAAGCATAAGTAGAACTCACACTGCCCTGTTTTCTAGTCTGGTGGCTTAACCATTAGACACTTCTCTTGTGAGAAGTTCTTCACCTGGATAATACATGTAAGCCAGGGGTGTCAAACTCGATTTTATTGAGGGCCACATCAGGGTTGTGTTTGATCTTGGGAGGCCGGGCTGGACATGGCTGAGGTGAGCTTGGCCAGTTCAAGGTCACTCGTGTAGGGGGTGCCTGTGGGTGGCAGTGAAAATGGGCTCCTGAGCTCTGTTTTCGGCTGCGACAGGCTCCTGCAACCCTCTGCCAATGAAAACAGAGCTCGGGAGGGCCTCTATTTTCACTGGCAGAGGTACCATGGGCTGACCCTTCGCTATTTCTAAGGTGGCCCCATGGACCATATCTAAACAACCCGCAGGCTGAATCCGACCTCTGGGCCTTGGGTTTGACAGCCCTGACCAATGGTGGATTGCTAATCCCGTTCCAACCGGTTCGGTTGGAACGGGGCCGGCGGCGTCCTCGTGCACGCGCGCAGTTCACGCATCCGTCTTAGCACCTGCACGATGCTCCAGCTGCTCGCGGAGAATCGTGCAGGCACTGTATGTGCCATGCGCCTGCGTGGAAGCGCAGAAACCTTCAAAGACCTGTAAGGAGCGTGGGCGAGCGGGTGGGCCCTTCGCCATTCCCGGAAGTTACTTACTTCCGGGTTCGCCGACCAACCAGTTCGCGGGGACCGCCATGAACCGGTTGAAACCCACCCCTGGCCCTGACCTACGCAAACATATTATTTAATCTTAGATACAATGACAATATTAGCATATGTTTTTATTTCGTACATAAGCTACATTCTCCAATATAGAAATATGAACATTCAGACAGAGGTCCATCTGCTGGTTTGTGCAGATGCAACATTGCATCAATTTAGATGTAGCTTCTCTTTATCAGCAACAGATCAAAGATCATATCAAATATATTGAAGATTTTGCTTCATAGCCACTTCTTTATTATCTATATGTTGCCTTTATTGGAGTGGTTAAATGTGTAGGCATCTTTGGTCCATTAGAGGATATTATCTTGTTCAAAATAGTATTGGTTGTTTTTTTTTTTTTTTT